CGCGCGCATCTGCGCCCCGACTACCAGCCGCTCGAGTACATGATCACAGGTCGGTACTTGGGCGAGATTGTGCGTCTTATCATCGTCGAGGCAAGCGAGACCACCCGCTTATTCGGCGGCGAGCTACCACACTCCATGCGTGAACCCTATACCTTCGACACAAGCATCGTCGCCTGCCTCGAGGAGGACTCATCTGCCTCCCTTTCTACTTCCGCCGCCCTCCTAGAGAAGCACCATACTTTCCACAACCCACCCTCCGTCGAAGACCTGCGATTCCTGCGCCGCATCTCTCAGATAGTCTCCCGCCGTGCCGCTGGATACCTGGCGACAGCCATCCACAGCATGTGGTGCCTCCGTAACGAGGTGGAATTCCCTGCATCCCCGTCGACCGTCCACTCCCTTGTTAAGGAATCACCCGAAATCACCGTCATCGAGAATGGAGACTCGGATAAGAGTCTTTCTATCGCCTGCGACGGTGCTGTCATTAACAGGTATCCTGGATTCCGCGCTGCCTGCCAGAACTATCTCGATCAGTTGACCGAGGAAACCTATCCGGGCGCCGGATGCTCTATCCGTCTCAACCCGGCGCCTGAAAGCGCGATTCTCGGCGCGGCAGTCGCAGTGGCTGTCTCTGTTGCTGAGAACTCTACTCAGCTGTAAATCTGCTAGTTAACATGAGTGATGCATGAACCCTACACGGAGCATAGATCTCTGGCTGTCTTTCGTTGTGATTTTCTTTTTACCATGTCCATCGGTCCATTGGCGCATAATATGTGATGGGTTTCCGTCTGGGCCTTTTGTTTTTCTCGTCTGCATGGGCATTCCCGGATGGGAGTTGTGGAGAGAGCGTTTTTCTTTGTTCCCCTTTCAACAGTCGAATCGTTTAGCATCAACAGGGAGTTACTGGTCAGAATCCACATGGGTCTCTCAATATGATTTTCTGTTGGGATCTTTGATCCTGGAGTTCGAATTCGTCCTTCGTCTTATCCTTATTAACGGGTTTTACGTTTTCTCGAATACAAAAGGCACACTTGACCTGTCTATTCTTTTCGTTTATTCCCAAACTAGTGCATCTTTCTTTACCTCCATGCGGAAAATATGGCATGAACAGGCTCTATTATACTCCTATAATTCCGCTTCTCCTCGAGCTCTCCTTGCATGCAATGCTGCAGGGCCAAATGCTAAACAGAGTGGAAATTGTCGACGTGTAAGGGGAAAAGTGTTATCACGGACATTAGTACTAAGTAATAGCCGGAACATCGCGCGATGTTCACCGTCATACTGACCACCCACGATTTTTGCGTCAATGCAATGGGAAAAAATGCCAGGAATGTGACTCCTGAGAGTTCAGTGGGACTGTGATCCTGAGGCACCCACCAAGATAAAGTTGATGCCTTAAATTACATTACCTTACCAGCTGCCTGCAATTCTCCGTCTCTCTCTTACCAGTAGTTACCATAACTAGTTACTACTTTTTCATCTTATATAACCACCCCTACCTAACGTATTCGGTAAACGAGCGGCGCACCCCAAAACACATAGTAAATGCGATAAATTACAACTCGATATCTTAACAACGGTAGTCTATATAGAGTTTTCCCAATAGCTGAATGCTTTTTAGGTGATATCTAGCTTCTCTAGGGAGTTTAGAAAATATTTATGACTTTATGATTGCGATATATATATTTCTGGCTTTGAACGACGTAATTTTCAATACCATGATAATGCAGCTTTTCGATGTCCTTGAAATTGATATATAGTGTTTAAAAGCCTTATCAATAGCTAACCAATAACAATGAAATCAAACAACAACGTGGTTGTTGCGATATGAGGTTGTAAAATATCACATTTACTATATGTTTTGGGGTGCGCCACTCGTTTACATGCGCCGCTCGTTGACCGAATACGTTAACTAGGCGACTAGGTAGTTATTTTAGCACTGCACTGCATTCATTGCTTACTGCCAACATGGTCAAATATTCGCTTCGTGTGAGTTTAAATCAAAAATTCTCCAAACGATGGGAATGGGATGAAAAACTGACAGTTTATCTGGTGCAGCCAGCGTACCAGTGGTATTGTGAGCAGAAATCAAAGAGGGACTTTGAACTCCCCGACCTACTCCCCGACCTAACCCCCTTGACGTGAGCTTATACTATTAATATTATCTCCTGATAAATTGAATATAAGCCGAGAGAAGATAGGTCAACAGACAGGTTGATTTATTCCTGGGTGAGCGCCTCTGCCGGTATGACAACTGCCCAAAAGATGTGAGATTTTTTGAGATTCCTTTCATTTCTTTGTCCAAATACTAGTAAAAAGTAGTACTAATTATCTCCCTAGTCCCCTGACTCATCCACCAACAATCTGCGTAAGCATTACGCAGATAAACACGCCGATATCAGATTGGCAAGTCATGGTCGCCGGCCTAGCCTACAGGGTGAGAACGATGCTGTTAGTATGTGAATACGCTATCTTTTACTACCTTTTGACTGGAGACTTACTAGTAATTTAGAATCTACGTTGCGAAACAGGATAAGTACGATGCGAAGGTTGCTGCAGCAGTAGCAGTGAAGCCAGAGATCCCTCGCAAAGTAGATGGAATAGTGAGTTGATACCTTTTTAATACATATCTAGTCTTCTATAAGTATACTGATATTGAAATAGATCCATCTTTTGCGCGTAATAAACTATGATTATTCAGTTTCGTGTTGTGGATGCGTTAAGTCATTTGAATGTGGGGAATTGATTATTGGAGGACGATAAATATTGATTACATTTCATCCTTCACATATATCTCAAGTTGAACTCCAGCTTGGGCACCTAACTCCCTGAGCTGGCGCCTCATGCTAAAACACCATTCATCAATATCAGTATCTACTTCCTCTAGTATCAGAGTAATGCCATGAAGATTCGGGGAGCATGATTTCCAATCCATCAGCCATGATTGAAGGAGGCCTAAAACGGCGTGATCCTCCCACTCCCATTGAGGCCATACTGCCGCTTTTTCATCCTCATTCTGGTCCCACAGGTCGTACGTGAGGGATACAAATTCGATGTTCCTTGGGATCATATCCTGCAATCGTTTCGTTGGTTCTTGTTTGAATCCCACTAGGAATGCCAATGGGACTTGAAGTCTCTTGAGCTTATCCAAATTGACCATCGCATGTAACGACCCCTCCATCTTAATGGCAGGAAGAAATGGATCGCCGCCCGCGCGGTCCACCATAGCTAGGACGGTCAAATCCTTCAAAGTATGTCGTATATGAGATATCGCTGCACCAAGAGAGTTGAGATTAACGATAGGCGTATTGATGTCATCATCAATACCAAAATCGTAATACAATTCCCAACGAAGAGTTTCAACCTTTTTAGTGATGGAGAGCACTTCGCCTAGATATAGCTCCCGGATAGCGGTCAAATTAAGTGATGTCAGCCTCGATGGTGCTGCAGGCCGCGTAAATAGAACCGGGTTTTCGATCGCGACTGACATCCGTTCAACACTTGGTAGATAGAAGAGTGGCAAGACATCTTCCGTGTTTTTGGTACTTCTATCGCGCGCTGTGTCCTCGCCGGTCCAGGTGAGGAAAGAGACGTCTTGGAGATGCCGAAAGTCTGGCAGCCCAAACATTTGCTGTGCCACTACTATTGGAAATTAACGCATTTTATACAATTCAATATACCAACATCGGACTACATACATACATAATGTAGGCAATGAAAAACCGGCGGTAAGTAACTAAGGCTTTCCTACTACTGTAGCGCACTGGCGGTAATAACTACACCTTATGATCTTCACTTCCACGTGATACCAAAAGGCTCATTTCCAATATTTGACACCTTATCCATCCTGTCTCTCCCCTTTCTCTTCACCTGTCTCCCATGCTCCCAGAATTAAATCGACCCAGTCAAACCTCCAAACCTCGGACAGATATGATTTGGTTACCGAATTCTAAACTGAAGCATGGTGCCTATATCGAATGGGTTGCCATAATTTATCTCCGCCGTGGAAAATGAAAGCAAATATAGTCATGGAGGCAGTGGTTTCAATGCAACCCATACTCTAGAGTCAGTCCCGCTCTATGTCGATCTTGTGTAATACAGTGGGGTGGAAAGCTCTCATGCAATTGCTAAATACGGAAATCCCGAGAAGATGCGCCTACAAAATATTTCCTCACACTAAGTACACCAGCTACCTGTGGTAATTTAGAACTCCCTTTTTTTCTTTTCCCCAGCCTTATGTTTATTTTCTGATCTCCCATCATGGTTTCCTCGAAATATTCACGGGCCCTCAAAGCTTTGGTACCATCGCCTGGATCCTGATCTCCTTAGCGGCCACTATCTTCGTCCGTTTTTGGTCCGACAATTATTTACGCGCCCAGAAGCTCAAACGACAGCGCATTGACCTGCCTATTCTCAATCTCAAGGGGAATGAGTATGATGCCGCGCTCAAGGCGTACGTTGCAGACGCCAAAGGCTTGCTTCAACGTGGATACAAGGAGTCCAAACCGGCATATATCAGATCTGGAGCCTCCACGGGTTTACCACTGTCGTCTCGCCAGATTTCCTGGAGGAATTAAGCTCTCTTCCGCCCGGAACTATAGATTTCTATGAAGGAACACGAAAGGTTTGAGAGTCCAGTGCAAGTGACAGAATAAAGACTGACCATTTGACTCTAGCGTATGGTGGGTGACTACGAATGGGTCAAGCTAGGAGACCCGTTGGAAGCGCACACAATTCTGAAAGACCTGACCCAGAATTTTGGTAAGAGCGCCTGGCTGCGACACCATGTATTTTGCTTCTATGTTAACGTGATCGTCGTTTTTGACAGGAAGCTTGCTATCAGAGGTTGCAGATGAGATTGACTATGCTCTCAGCACCGAACTCCCTGAATGCAAAGTTGAGTTCTTTGAGTAGCCAAAATGTACATGGGCTTGTCCTAATAGGTTTTAGACTGGACCCCCGTCACCATCCAGCCAAGAATATTGCGCATCGTCTCCCTCATGGCCGGACGGGTATTTGTGGGCCCGGAGCTTAACCGCAACGAAGAATGGCTACACATCTCCAGCAACTTCATGATGGATGTCTATATTGCAGGCAATGCCCTGTATAAGTACAGCCACTTCATGCGTCCATTTGCAGCCAGGTTTCTGGTGCCAGAGATTCGCAAGGTGTGGAGGCATCAAGCCACAGCGAAGCGTCTGCTCGTTCCGATTATGGAGCAGCGTCAAAGGGATGCAGCATCAAACCCCAACTTTAAGAAACCAAATGACATGATTCAGTGGCTCATGGATAACAACGCGAAAGAGAAGCACCATCGCAGTTTTGCGGAGCTGGCGAAATTGCATTTACTTGTCCGTTTCTCAGCATTGCATACATCTACTCTCGCTACGACGCACTTTCTCTATGATCTCGCCGCACGACCAGAGTATGTTGAGCCTCTACGGGAAGAGAAATATGCCATACATAAGGCCTCTAACGGCATCCCATCCAAATTTGACTACAACAAGATGATCAAGATGGATAGCTTCATGAAGGAGTCACAGCGGCTGAACGCCCCAAGTTTGAGTACGTTCAAATCGAAAGGTCTCCATGGGAGTAGAATCTTGATATTTGTAACGGCTCACTGACATTGCATATAGTGACATACAGTCGGCTGGTATTGAAGGAGTTCACACTCAGCAATGGAGTAAAGTTCACTCCTGGAACTTACATCCTCGCCCCTGGAGCTCTTGTATCCTTGGATGATGACGTTTGGGAGTCGGCAAACGAGTTTCGCGGCTTCCGTTTCGCTGATTTGCGATCCAGAAGCAAGGATGATATGCACAAATTCCAATTCACAACAATTACTCCAAAGGCCTTGCACTTTGGTCACGGTCGCAAAGGTTGTCCAGGCAGATTCTTCGCCAGTTATGAGATGAAGGCTATTTTCTCTCTTATAATTGAGACTTTTGATATCAAATTACTTGATGAAAAAGCCGGAAGGCCGGCAAACAAAATCTTCGGTGCAGCTATAACTCCAGGTGCATTGGGACACCGCATACCTTTTTGCTTCGGCACATGTTACAGGCTAACTGGGGATTAGCCGGTTCTTCATGTGGAGGCTTTGTGGTACTCTTGATACACTGAATGTCATCACCTTTGCCATTTCCATACCGAAGTGTGACAAACATGGTCAGTATTCCCCACGAAAAGCATTTTCCTAGATTGAAGCGTCTGTGAAATCAGGGAATACTAATTGGCTGACGTGGACAGAAGAGGGGATCTATTGATTCCTATATATAAGTACCGGAGCGGGGTCTAGATGTACATTACAATTCGAACAAACAGGGACCTGAAGGCATCATGAACTATCTATGCAGCCATCCCCGAGGTCGGGGGCCAGGACGTAAGCCTGTAAGCCTTGGCACAGAGCACCTGGATGGAGGATCATAATAGCCTAGGTTTCATCGGGATGAACAGAGGCTTTTGATAAATGTTATGCAGGGGGCTGACGCCATCGGCTCCCTTAAGGCGAGTTGGCTGAAATGAAACCCTTATCAATCGTTGCTAATGAGTAGAAAAAGGAGAAGCCGTTCCCTCCGGGTGATCCTCCGGGTGATAATCTCATCGGCTTGTCTTGTGATTGGTTGCGATATTGGCGCATCTTTTCAAACATCCACCCGTCGTGGCAATGGAGAGCAAAGATCCCCTAATCCTGGCTTTGGGTTGCAGAGCTAGGAGAGCGGAGTCCGTTGGTCCTGCTACCAATGATTGGACCTGAATTTGTGGAGGATCCTGAGTATCGGGTAGGTTATTGCCGAATCCTTATACGTGTGGGTGGCTTTGTGGAGTAGATTACACAATTTAGAACGTGTTCTTACACGTCGAGGCATATTCAGCAAACAAATTACACTCCAATTCTCGGAGTAGGCTTTATTCGGTGGGTGCGCGTTCAGTTGACTCGGCCCAACATTACTTTGTATGGATGTCGCCGGGACCAGGGTACTTACTGCTAGTCCTTTATTTGCTGATTTCTCCGATGGCACAATTAAGTGCATGATAGTGCGATATGAGTCATGATGAGTGGCCGGTGATGGTTGCTTTTAATTGGTCCAACATACCAAGAGATGGCATTGGAATCAATACTTCATCTTGACCACCCGCTTGTCGCAATGCCTCTGGCAAGCGGTTGTCGACAAACCCCCTTCCGAAGGCGAAATCGGCATGTCAGAAAAAGGCGGGTCTCTTTCTCCCGGGACGCTCCGTCTGGAGTTAAAGGACGATGAAAAAGAGGTCCTTAGGCGACAAATCGACACCCCGGAGTCGCAGATGAGCCGCTTTACTCTTTTGTATACCTGCACAACACCCTATGAATTACTTCTTCTGGTTATCAGCTCAATTGCAGCCATCATTGGGGGAGCCCTTCAACCTGTGTCTTTTGTGAGCTGCTCTCCGCCGGTATTCTATCTCCCAAGCTGATATCCCTCGTATAGCTCCTTTTGGGAGGCTTGGCTCAATCATTCAAAGAGTTCTTCATCGGAACGTCCTCAGGATCGCAACTTTCATCCCTGGTCGCGAAATTCGCCCTTTACTATGTATATATCGCCATCGGACAATTTGTTTCGGTCTACATCTCGACAGCCGGATTCATGGTCGGTGGAGAAAAAATCACCCAAAGACTCCGAGAGAAATACCTCGCCGCTATCCTTCGCCAAAATATCGCATTCTTCGATGTCCTAGGAGCTGGAGAGATCACAACCAGAATCACCTCGGACATGAATCTGATCCAAGATTCGTTGACCGGCAAGCTATCTCTGACTTTGTACTCCTGTTCCAACTTCGGGGCAGCGCTCATCATCAGTTTCGTGAAAAGTTGGCGTATGGCGCTTATTCTGATATCGGCCTATGTCGCAGAAACTGGATCAATGAGTGTCTTCTCTTCATTCATGGTCAAGTATACCCACAAGTCACTGGCGGCATATGCAGACGGATCGACAGCTGCCGAGGAAGCCATCAGTTCAATCAGGCACGTAACTGCGTTCGGGATTCAAGACAAGTTGGCCGATCGGTACCAAAGGTTTCTCACCCAGGCCGAGAAATATGGTCTTAGAAGTCGCATTGCTCTTGCGGCCATGATGGCCGTCATGAATGGTGTCATCTTCTGGACCTATGGACTGACATTTTGGCAAGGATCTCGTTATGTGGTTGTTGGAGACGTGGAACTGGGGGCGCTGATCACCATCCTCCTTGCTACCTTGACCGGAGCATTCACATTCGGTAACATAGCACCCAACTTCCAAGCGTTTTCAACCGGTATAGCAGCCACAGGAAAGATTCTTGAAACAGTGTCTAGGGAATCACCACTGGATCCATCCTCCACCACAGGAAGAAGACTGGAAGCTGTGTCCGGGACGATTGAGCTCAAGAGCATTCGCTATGTTTACCCCTCGAGACCGGATGTCCTCACTTTAGATGATGTAAATCTTCGATTTCCAGCTGGCAAGACGACGGCCATTGTTGGTGCCTCTGGTTGTGGGAAAAGTACATTAGCAGGCTTGATTGAAAGATTTTATGAACCACTAAACGGCGAAGTTTGTGAGAGGTCTTTCCTGTGCGCGATGAACCGTGCTAATATTGACAAAATAGTACTCGATGGTCACGATATCGCGACTCTTAATTTGCAGTGGTATCGCCAACAAATAGCAATCGTGACACAACACCCCACACTCTTCGCCACAACTGTATTCCAAAATATCAGATTTGGTCTGGTCGGCACCGAGCACGAAAATTCCCCTCCTGATGTGATAGAAAGCCTTGTCTTCGATGCCGCCAAGAAGGCGAACTGCTTTGATTTCATCTCCGACCTGCCGAAGGGCTTCCACACCAGTGTCGGAGAAAGGGGCTCCTTGCTTTCGGGGGGACAAAAACAACGAGTCGCCATCGCACGGGCTATTATTAGCAATCCAAAAGTCTTGCTACTGGATGAGGCTACTTCGGCCCTCGATGCCCAGGCTGAGAGGCTGGTACAGGCGGCGCTCGATGTTGCTGCTAAAGGTCGGACAACGATCACAATCAGTCATCGGTATGCGTTTTCATTTAATCTTGACGACACACGCTGATCATTTTTCAGACTATCTACTATCACGGCGGCAGAAAACATTGTTGTTATGTCTCACGGGCGTGTTGTTGAGCAAGGAACCCACAGCGACCTACTTGAGAAACGATCAGTGTATTACGAGTTGGTGGAGAAGCAGCGCATGTCCACGGAGAGAGATGTCGGCCCCAGTGAAGGAAAGTCCATGTTCGATGTAGATGCGGAACTCCCCGGTTCGAAAGATGAGGGTAATGAGTCCAACAAGCACACGTACCAAATTGAGCAGGACCCAGTTTCTGAAGGCCAGGAGGGAGATTCAGACGGCAAGGCTGACGGAAGATACTCCTTATGGGAGTTGATCAAGTTCGTCGCCAAGTTCAACAAACAAGAGACATTTACAATGCTTTGGGGTCTGTTCTTTTCGGTTATTACAGGCGCAGGAAACCCCACGTAAGACTCCTTCATCATGCGGTGTGCAGAGTATTGATGCTGACTATCCCACCAGGCAGGCTGTATTCTACGGCAAAGCTATCGCGGCATTATCGCTGCCTCCGAATATGTATGGACAGCTCCGCCATGATGTCAACTTCTGGAGCCTGATGTATCTGATGCTGGGAGGTACTGCATTTCTGGGGTGGGGAGCATCAGGTCTCTGTTTTGCCTACTGCTCCGAGCGCTTGATCCACCGGGCCAGAGATTCTTCCTTCCGCGCAATTCTCCATCAGGATATCTCCACGTTCGACAAACCTGGATTCTCGGCCGGTTCACTTACAGCGGCATTATCCACGGATGCTACCAACCTTGCTGGGATAAGTGGTGTCACACTGGGCTCTATATTCATTGTCTCGACGACATTGGTTGCTGGAGTGGCTGTGTCGATTGCTATAGGTTGGAAGCTGGGGCTCGTCTGTACCGCAACTATTCCCATCGTCCTTACTTGCGGTCTCGTCCGACTGAAGCTCCTTGGGGAAATTGCTCAACAGTCAAAGGCTGCATATGCCGCCTCAGCAACCTATGCTTGTGAGGCAAGCTCTGCTATCAAGACGGTTGCATCGCTAAATCTCGAGACCCATGTGCAAAAAGAGTACCACACCATACTGGAAACGCAACGAAAAAAGTCAGTCATTTTAACACTAAAGTCATCCATGTTTTATGCGGCTTCCCAGTCGGCCAACTTTCTCTGCATCGCGCTAGCCTTTTGGTATGGAGGAAGTCTGATCATCCACGAAGGCTATTCAATGGTGCAGTTCTTTATTGCTTACGCTGCGGTTATCGCCGGCGCATTCAGCGCCGGAGCGATTTTTTCCTTTGCGCCAGATATGAGCAAATCCCGTCAAGCAGCCCAAGATATCAAAACGCTGCTAAGTCGACCTGTCACCATTGACACCCGTCGAGAGACTGGTGAGCAGTTACCGAAAATGGATGGCAGCTTAGATATACGAAATATTTATTTCCGATACCCTAACCGACCGGAGAGAGTGGTTCTGAATGGCCTCAGCTTAAGTGTACGAACGGGACAATATATAGGTCTTGTCGGGGCAAGTGGATGTGGGAAGAGCACCATCATTTCTTTATTGGAGCGGTTCTTCGATCCAGAAGCCGGAAAGATCTTGGTTGATGGGAAAGACATTTCAAAGTTGAATATCAAGAGCTACAGGAGCCATCTTGCTCTAGTTAGCCAGGAGACGACTCTATACCACGGAACAATTAGGGAGAATATCATCATCGGGACCGACGACGATAATCTTTCCGAGGAGAGAGTCATCCAAGCATGCAAGGATGCCAACATCTACGACTTCATCCTCTCCCTACCGTAAGCTACCTCTTCCCTTACAGCCTTTTCTTGTCTGTTGAATTTGAACGGAGGCATACTAACGTTCCGCTTAGTGATGGTTTCTCGACGGTTATAGGCGCGAGAGGCGGCATGCTCTCTGGCGGGCAGCAGCAGCGGATAGCTATAGCGCGAGCGCTTCTCCGTGATCCACGCATCCTCCTCCTGGATGAGGCCACTTCCGCACTCGACTCGGAGTCGGAAAAGGTCGTCCAGGATGCACTGAATGCCGCAGCTCAAGGCCGAACGACAGTCGCTGTTGCGCATCGCATTAGTACGGTACAGAAGGCCGATTGTATTTATGGTGAGAACAGACCTCAATTCTATTGATAACTGGGCTAACCTGTCTTAGTGTTGCACGAAGGCAATGTTGTTGAACAGGGGACGCACCAGGAGTTAATGGAGCTGGGTGGAAGATACTTTGAATTGGTCAAGCTACAGAGCTTGGAGAGCGTTTGAGACCAGAAAACATAGACTATGATTTAATATATAAGAATATTCGTACACGTGCAAAGGAAGTTAGAAATAAGGTAATTCTAAAATGAAACTGCTATCGAGCATAGCCAGATATCGTGAAATATCTACACCGTTGCAGCTGCAGTCAACGGATTCCAGTCGTCCATCATGATTCTTCCGTCCAGTCAACACAGAACTATGGCTCTGATCCACCTCTCCCTTTCCGAAAGCCTCAAATTTTTTGAGATACCAATCCTTGCTCTTCCCCTCCTTCCCATCGCCATCAATAAATACTGCATCGGTCTCCGGGCGCACTAGATAGACGATGGTATACTTGGTACGGTTTGAGGGCATCCGGATGTCGCACCACACGATGCGAACTCGACTTAGTCTACCTTGAGAAAGAAGGTGCAGCGAGCCTCCTACGTTAATAATCGCATGGCTATCGCGAGGCAGAATATACGTCCACTCGTCCGTTCCCGTCATTGCGACTTGCAGCCCCGCCACATCGGTGATCACAAACGACAAGCTCCCCGCGTCCGTATGCGCAACGTGACCAACATCGTTAGCTGTGCCGTAGGGGAGATATTTCAGGAGCCCGAGCGCTGTCGTTGAGGTTTCGCCCGCTCGGTGGGTGGATGCGAGGTGGGATTTTCCCGTCAAGCCAAGAGATTGCGACAGGCTGTCCAGCATGGCGTGGCTAATGCCGCGAAGTGCAGTTATATTGGTTTGCGTAAAGTTACCGTTTGTTTGGAGTGGGCCTGGAGCGGCCATTGTGGTAGGATCCGCTATATTCCGCAGAGGGTGTTCAAAAATCTACGGATCGACTGATCAGCGAGTCCGAACACCGACAAAGAAATTCATTTATGGAACGGAATTTGCGAACCATGAACCCTTCAAACCCATCCTTTCGCCCTTCAACTGGCCCCGAGCCGACCCCTGCCGCCTTGTACCCCACGCTCATTTCTTGTGCATGATTATGGTCGGCTGCCCATCCACTCTTCTCCTACTGACGGAGATCGTACAGGGTATTGGAGATTTGGAACAGGCGTTGGATCTGACTGGCCGATAGAGAGCCGTTTTCCCAGTCTGTGCAGTCAAGATAGAATAACCCTGTGTCAGTGCAGGCGGCTAGTAGCTCGGCAGCGACGGCGGCCGGACTAGACATTAGTTTGCCCAGTGAGATGACTTTGAGGACAGCACTTTTGGGTGCGGATTGGGTAGACATTGTGGATTGGTTCAAGTAGGTTTGAATTGAAACTAGGTAACTAGGTGGAATTTACTCCGTAGTGATGAGATTAATTTATAGATGGGAACGGAAAACATTCAACGTATAAGACAGCCCTCATACCCTCGATATTACAATCATCGTATCTATGTCATGCGCAAGATAGTCCAACATTACACGCGATTCTCAAACCAAGATAGCAATGGGAGCCCTAGTTCTCACTCGCGTCAGCTTATCAGAAGCTGATCCCGGGGTCTGAATTTCGCGACAAGTGCGCCATGTGATGCCAAGAAGGTCAGCCAGATAGCCAAGGTGAATGGCTGACAGAGGGAAGATTATATTGATAAGCGCTAGCTCTCCTGCCCGGCGGCCAGCTTCAGTCAACGAATTTGTTTTAAAGAAAACAAGAGTGATATTGATAGTGATATATATCACGTGGATAAGGACACTAGAACTGTCTATAGACCGCAAATTCGATGCCTATAAATAAGGACTAGGAGAGTAAGATGCCGAGAGAGTAAAATAGAAAACGATTCCGCCTAGTTGATTAAGACGGAGCGAGTTTGGATCAGAAAGAGGCAAAAAAATGCCGTTAGCGGCAATTGTAGACCTTGACAAGTACTGCAGTACCAAGCAGATTTTGGTACTGTTTATCGGTACTGCAGTACCTCACAGTAGTATCGATATAGTACTACAGCTGCATAACTTGCGAAGAAATTACCCATTTTAGATGTATAAAATGCTGATTTAGCCGTATAAAGTCGTACTGTCAGAATTACATGATCTTGATCTTATTATTTACCGCTTATTACTACTTATTATTAGTTCTTTGTAGTAATTGCTATTTATTTAACTATTTCCTTTATATATTTCATATAATAATAAAAGAATTAGATAGTTTTTATAATTAATTTTGTAGTGATTTTGGTAGTGATTTTGGTAGTAGAAGTGTGACCAAGAGATATACAGTGATATAGCAAAAGTTTGGACACCCCCTTCCACTACCGCCTTCCTGGAATAGCTCTACAGTCTGGTATACTCGGCCTTTTATTGGTGGATACTGACCGGCAGAATCTGGGGTGCTCAAACTTTTGCTATGT